ATTGGTGGTTTGACGAATTGTTCGATGGTGAAATTCCGCAGCAGATAGAAAATTCAAAGGGATACAACATCCCTTCGCAAGGCCAAAGAGTCGAGGCGATCAGACCAGGTCGATGCGATGAAATAGAAGAAGCTGGTATTTTGGTTCCCCGGCCCAGTGGTGAGAGACAGTATTCCATGTGTAGCCGAATCTGGCATTTATAGATCTGCGAGCGATGGACAGGCAGGAAATACTGTTTCGCTCTGTTAAAGAAATTGACCTTTTTAGAATCCAGCTTAGCTTTACAACTCTACTATATTTAACATCTCTATATTTGATACATAAAATGTACGAAAGGGATTTAGTAAGATTTATTTTATTTTTCTACCATGCGGTGAAGCGTGGTCCGCCATACCGTTCGCAATTCTCCTTACTAATATTATAAAGGCGAAAGTTTGTATGTATGGATGGATGTTTGTTACTCTTTCACGCAAATAGATTTTATGAAACTTTACAATAATAAAGCTTATACATCAGAATAAGACATATTTATATACATATTTTATGTACTTATATCTGTCTTTATGTCTGAATGTTACGCATTCAGCCTATTCAACGCAGACGTAGTCGCGGGCAGCAGCTAGTATTTAAATTCTTTGAGTTACCTCTCGTTGTCATCAGTGAATTTTTGTGACGATTGGCCGCCCCTAATATCGGGCCGCTCCAGGCCCAGGCCTACTGGGCCTTAGGGAAAATCCGCCACTGCGCCCATGGATATGTAGCTGACGGATTGCAGATGCGTTGTCAATGCCAATCCTTAAAAATGTATCCCCGGCGACTCACGAGACGAGTGAAGTAGAAACTCGAAAGTGTAATACTTACAGGTCACTTGCCGCGGTACTTCATGCCTGCCCATTTGTGCAATAGCAGAAGCTACAGCGTAGGGCCATGGGCCATGCAGTAACTTGCAAATATTTATTTATTACATAAAATTGGCATTTAATCTCAGTTTGTAACATAATAAAAAAATGAGCGTTTGCAATAATTACAAGATGATTCCATTACCGATCAAAGAAGCTTTTACTTGTAGTTATATTTTTGCCAATGTAAGTTACTACGCGTAGATAACTAGAATTCTTTTTATATTCAGAAATGGTGTCGCCTTGCCGTAAATAGTCGCTACCAATTAAATTGCAATTAATGCTTACAGATTAATTAAGGCCTTTGAACCGACTACGTGAGATCCAAACTCAGGTAACAGCAATTTCGTGGCTTTGTAATTATAGACCCATGAATAATTAATTGTTTCGAGTACCTATATTTGCGACATTAATAAAGAACGAAAGGGAATTCATTAATCTAAGTAAAGTTTTCATGTTGTTTTGTTCATTGATATATTTATATTGACCTGTTTTAAAATGCTTTAACAAAATTATAAAATATATAATGATATATCATGTACAAAAAAGTTTTGAAAGTATATCTATTTTTTGGTCACATATTGTTTGTTAATATTTAGGCGGGGCACGAATTTGTATAATATAATTATAATTGGATTTTTTAAAGCAGGCACAATCGAATGGGATAAATATTGAAAAATATTAAATTATAAACAAGTTATATTATATATACATATAGATTTATAGTATATATTCAACGATTAATATTCAAATATTATAACATAAATCATAACACACGAAGTAAGTAATAAAATGAATAATAAGTACTTAACTGACTTATGAAAAAAAATTAAATTAAGAATATGATACCAAACATTACTCAGCGGCGGCCAGTTCAAAAGAAAAATACGGTTCCTCTCATTTTTATTTAATCTGTAAGAACTTAACGATCTATTGTTTTAAAGTTATGAAAGTAAATAAGTGCAAGTTTAATTTAAAATGAGCTATAAATATATTTTGTTAATAGAGTGGTATCAAGAATGGGAAAAAATCAATAAATGCATATGGGTGAGTTTTCAAGTGTTCAAAATTTTTTTGCGTATTTTGAAATTTTTTAATCGGCACTTTTAACAGTTTTTAAAATTGTTGTTAAATAATACCTAAATTCTATGAACAAATAATTTATGATGACGTATCAATTAAAAACAGATTGCAGCGCTATTAATAATATTGTTTTAAATGAGGCCTAAAAGAAATTTTCATAGAAAAAATTATGTAAATGTAATCAGTAAAGCTATACTAAAGTAATACTGAAAAAATATACTACTGTTTTCATACCCTTCGTATATTTTTTAATTTTATATTTTCCATACAGAATCCCACGTACATTACCGAGGATTTTATAAGTTGTATCGTATAAAAAGTGCAATATTCTATATATCCTTTACTGAAATCTACAAAAGAAGTTAATAGATACTTAGTGTGATCAATGAGTATAGTGAAGACAGCTTTTATTAAAAAAGAACGTACTTTTAAATTGTTAACAATGTTTGTTTACGCTGTGATCTCTGAAATAATCATTGTACTAGGAAAACTCACAAAAGATTAAAATCTAACATTTCTTACATGGTTGAAATATTTTCATTTTTGTTTTAAGATTGAATAAAAGGAAAGCTAATTATTGTATCCTAACATCGCTCAAGTAGGCCTCTGGAAGACATTTAATTTAAGTAAAATATCATAATGAAACTTCGGTGTCTATAGTCCATACAATATCTTCCACTTGTTAAATAAAGATGGCGCTCTCATACATTGTACTAACTGTTATATCCTTAACAATTAAATAAATAATTGTAGTTGTACCCGCTTCATAACAATTGCTTTAAAATACCTAAAATAGCTTTAATTGTTCTATACTTCTGCTACATATCGTTTTAAGGGGGTACAATTAATTAAAAAAAACCATAGGGTAATAATTATTTTCACCAAATTTTGTACAAATACCTAATTTCACAAAATATTCTAAAAGATAGCGTATGTATACGGTATTTTTTAAAAATTAAAAAGAAAGTTAAATTTTGCATGTCTTAAAAGCTGAAGCAATTTTAATTCAATCATTCAAAAGTTGCTACTTGCTCCTTGGTTTGCATTTCTACATATAAATAAATTCACCGTCCTAATATGTATGATGTTATCAGGATGATTGTGTTAAAGAAATGTCTTTGTATGTATATATGAATAACAATATTCGTTATAAATACTATTCTGGGTAGTTTTTTTCGAACAATGTACATTAAAGACTTATAAGTATAGTTCGTAGAAAATTAAGACTAAGTAGGTAAGTAGTTAGTTGGTACAATTATAGGATGATAATATCAAGAAATGTAATCGGTAAGAATTGTTTGTTTAAAACGATCAGAAGATGCTCCCATCTGCGTTCATATTCGTAGCGTTTATCTTCAATATTGTCAGTAAGTACAGTAAGTGGATGATGAATACATACATCTCTTTATCTTTTTTCTTTAACAAATGGTAGGTTATATCGTAGTAGATCATAGATAGATAGTATTAGCAGGTACCTCAGTCGTTAGATCATAGAGGACATTATTTTTATATATACTTTATTGAACACCAAAAAAACATAAAAGGAAATGTTACAGAACTATAAACTTAAGAGGTATAAACAATAAGGCGGTCTTATCGCTAGGGAGCGATCTCTTCCAGACAACCTTGTGGTTAAAAATATTTTAGGTTGGACAGCGGTAGGTGGTGTAAATGATAAACTTACATACTAACATTTAAATAAACTAAACGAATATGTTGTATTTTTGTATAATAATAATATACTAATATATACCAAATAAGATACAATAGACATACATAAATCTAAACATATACTATACAATAACTTACAAAAAAATATACAGGAAAAAAAAAAAAAAATAAATATAGATATAGAAATGTCGTCGGACATTGTTTTTTGCAAGTACAGGTGAAGTAGTTTTTAATTCATATAGTCATTTTTGATTTATAAAGCTTCCTTTAACAAAATTTTTCAATGTTTTAAATAACTTCAAAAGTTTTAAATATTACAATTATAGTTGTGTACCCAAAAATTCCTTAATATTTAAATGTCATAAACAAGCCATAGTACACAATTACAATATTTTCAATGAACTAAAATATGAATACTTTTCACGGGAAAGAAGAGTAGGTAGATGTAAAGCTGAGAGAAGAGCCCCGAATGCTTGGGATGACGCCGGGTCGGAACCGGGGGCCCGGGAACGATTCATTGATCCGAACGTTCTCGGAAAGTAGACAGAGACAAAGATAGGAGGCTCCCGCCGATGCCTCTCTATCGCTCCCCGTTCATCAATTTCTAACTTACTAAGTCACTATTATATTATTTCCTGCAGATAGGTACCGTACCTAGTTCCAAATAAAAACCAAGAATAAAACCAATTTTACTAATACATAATTTAAACATTAACATTTTATCATCAAAATTATATTTTTAACATTGAAATAGTATGATTTTGTCAATAAATAGAATATTTGCCGTATATTTTGAAAAATAACATTTAAAAATTAATATAATCTATGATTTTACTTTTTAATCGAAATAAACTATAAACTGTACATTAATAAAAAAAACATATAAACTACTTATGAAAACTTGCTAAAAGTTATACAAGTCGGTAGCCGCAGCTGGTTGTTAAAATGAGTGAAAAAGGGATAGCTGATGTGCGTTCAAAAAACCGAAGCTGCTCGTAATCGTATATATGTTCTATCTCTGTTACTCAAGCCGCCGAGCGCACGGGTTCGTTGAGTCGCCACGCGTGCCCGTCCGTTGTTGCACATCGACGTCAACCGCTTTCAGTGCTATAGCGCGTTCCTCCGCGCTATATCTACATAACCTAAAATTTTACATTCTTAATAAAATTAAATATTTCGCTCTATTTAAAAACCAAATACTCATGATTACTACAAATTTATAAGATTAGTGAAGTGGAGTTGACGCCCAAACAAGGGCGATTCGTGGAGTGTATTTTTGTGCAACACAAAGTAAATACAAACGGCAAGCTGTGGGGATCAGGGGCCTTTTTTTTGCCGCCGCAGGGGATGTACTATCCTGTGAGTATAAATACTTCGTTATTGGAACGAAACTGTATTCGGTAAATATCTCTGTTCGAAGTAATCCGCGTCATATGAAATTGTTCATAAAAAACCACAATGTTATGGCGCATGGAGTTTTTTTTATTCGTAATGACCACACATACTTCCTTTTTTATTAGTCTTCTAACGTTTTGAATATAAATCAAATGAAATTGACTATTTAATGACTAATACCCACCAGTTTTATTCGTTTACTGCTCTAAAAGACAATAGGATAAGATACGACGTGAAGTTGTCTGTAGGTAGGAGTTATTAGCATCACAATACAAAGGTTCACAACTAAATAAAACTTTAGATAAGACTATGTTGGTGAACTTAATTTCATGTCGTATATATATTAGAATTATAATAACTTTTATCCAGTTACGATTTTCAATTTAAACATTTTCTGTAGAGTTGAATACTTGTACAATTTATTTTAAATTTTACTAAAATTAACAGTTCTACATAGTTGTGACATTGAACTATATGAAATCATTGTCACAATTTATTGGTTAATATTATCTATAATATATGTATACTCTAGTCATTTGGGGAAATGAAAATGAAAGTATTAATTTTAACATTATTACTATTCGTCCGTTAAGAAGATACTCATTATTTAATAGGTAATTTAATTTCTTAAATTTATTAAACACGAGTGCTCCTATAAACCGCGTCAACTCTGATTGGAAACGCAGTTCGCGATTTAGTCTTATTTAGGGCGTTTGATAGTATTTTTAGCTTAGTCGCCCCTCGCAGTTACAAATAAATCCGCTAGCAGAAAACGATTACTTAAAGAATATTTAAGAAAACGCTTACATATTTGTTTTTTTATTATTATAGTTTTTTGTTTTTGAATATATACCTACGTTTAATAATTTAGGAAATTTGTTGTGACAAGAATTATAGCTAAACTGGAAACCTAAGTGTCATAAATAGCTATAAAAATTCCAGTATTGCCACTATTCTCACAGATCAAAAGTTAGACAAATTATTTATTGTAGTTACATTGATGATTAGTGTCGTAATAATGAATATGCCCTTGAATAATGTTGATACTTTTGTAAATAAGGATATACCTATTATTCACAAGTAATACAAATTAGACCACTGCTGGGTAGGCTTAGTTATTATTTATTACATTGCATGAGGCGAGGGAAATAGATAATTCTCATTTCTACTCTTTCTGCAAGCTCCGCCAACCTTGGCCAAGCTTAAATGTTAGTGTCTGATGTTACTCTGGTGACTGACGGATGACAGAAAATTCATCATATGCCAAAAAATTCGCCGTTCTTGGACGAATCGTGAGGCGAATCTTTTGGTGCAGATAACATTTAGAAACCAATTTGGTGTAGGCTCAGAAAGATATTGAATCCAAATTAAATTTAATACAATAATGGCCTTTCGATATTGTAATAAACAAATTGATTTAGATTGTAAACAAAATTAAAGATGCCTACGCAAAAAATGGAAATTAAATTTATATTTTAATATAGGTAGGTATATTTATAGTTTAATATAGTAGGTAATTGAAACACTAAACTTTGTGAACTTATTAAATATAATTAACGTTTCACTCTTTTGAAGTGTCAAAAGAGTGAAGCGTTTTCAAATGGTATATTTCCGGCCGTAATAACTAGATATTACGGTGGTACTGTTGCACGAATGGGAAGGCTCGTCCGGGTAAACACCACGACGTCACAGAAGACCGGCGTAAAGTGGAAGTATAACACTTTCGCGTTTCGTCTGGTGAGTGATGTGGCCGGAGCCCAATTTCCAAAAGGTTGTCAACACATCTGGAACCCTCGAGTGTAGCAGATGTCCATGGGCGACGGTATTCGCTTAACATCAGGTGAACCGTCTGCTCGTTTGGCAACTTTTCACATAAAAAAAAAGATGAGTTTGACACTTGGTATTTTCTCCCGATACTAAGTAATTGTTCTTCGTAAAGCTGTGTATGTTCGTATTACATGGAATCGTAAGTTCACAGTGTATTGTAATCGCTTCAACAAATATCACATGCATGTGATAAATTAAATTTAAATATTAAAAATAATGTTTATTACACTAATTGGTAATTTCCTTGCAATATGCGAAAACGTTACTATCGAAAATGAAACATTAAGGAAACCTGCTCACGGATCCAAGGTGAGCACGCCAGTCGGTTATATGAACAAATTATTCGCATACCACCCTTTGTTCACGTTTCGAGTTCACGCAGATGTTTACTTCGGTAGGGTCGGCTACCTGGCATTCGAGAAAGACAAGCTACCTGCTCAGTGCTCGCTCACAAATGTGCGTTACCATTGCTTATTTCTCGGAAAAGACGCTCGGCCTTTACTATCAACTAGTACATGGTAAAAAATGTGTTTTACTTGTACGAAGTCAATACGTGCACAAATTATTGACAGAAAAAAAATCTTCGTAATTTACTTCTATTTAAACCGACATCAAAAAAGGAGGAGGTTCTCATTTCGGTTGTACGTTTTTTTGTATATTATCAGTATTATTAAGATTAATAATAATTTACAAAATCTATTTATAAACTGATTTTGAAAATTCTTTTAGCATTGGGTTCGGTTTAGCTTCCATTTGATCTGGTCCATAATTATTTTAATTCGCATTGGGCCTTGGACCCCGATAAATAAGGGAACTCGAACAAATATAAAATGTATAGTGAGTGAGATATTTGAAGTCGGTTTTGTGTTATTGTGTAAATAATATTACACAACGTTAGGTTAATGACAATAGAAACAAAAAACACTCATTTTACTAATTGTTTTTATGAAATTAATAACATAAATTTCGTAAAAAAAACCCTGAATGTGTGCATCCACAGCAAATTCAATCGCAATTTAACAGGACAGTAGGTACCGTGTATATATTCAGTGATTACAGAGTGTGAGTGCGTCGAGCTCAACAAAGTCTTCAATTACACTGTTAAACAGATGCCCGATACATAGTATATGTGTGCGTGCACTTTCTACGTATGTAGCTATCGTACTGATGAATGTTTTTTGAATTTGTAAAGTTGCTGTACCTGTAAATCCTATTTCAGCTTAACTATAACTTAGGCCTAGAAGGGATTTCATGTAACTAACACCCTAAAATGTTTGTTAATTTTGTATTTACAATTATTTTTATTAAATACCTGATAGGTATGAATATATTAGGGCAATATTATATAATATTATAATATTTATTTAATATGAACGTAATGCCACGATCTCTTGTTAGTTTAAACTTCTTTTACACTAATCGTAAGTAGTATGTAAGTGTAGTGATGATTTTAAGGGAAGGAGGAAATTTTGCGTTCAAAACACACAAACAATATTTGTAAAACTTACCTTTAATTTTATTTGCGATAAAAGTGGGGAACTAAGTCATAGCTATACCTTAGTATGTGGTACATGAAATTAATATTTTAAAAATAAATAAGAAGTATCGCTTAATTTTGTCAACAAAACCAACTTGAATAAACTGAGAAGAAACTAAGAATTTCATTCTTAAAGAAAATAATATTGAAATAAAAACTTGTAAGCCTCCAAATCGCCAGTTGCTAGACTCCATAGAGTCAGTAACTCGTTCATGGGACGGTGTATACGCTTCTACAACAAAATCCCAGTTATTGTGCAAAGCCTATCTATTAACAGGTTTAAGAAATTTATTAAAGAAAAACTTTTTAAAAGGGTTATTATAATATATATTAATAGAATACATTAACGATAAAAACCCCTGGGAATGAGATGATCGGTCCTAAGCTGTTTCTAAAAAAACAAAATATACTGTATAACAATGTAATCGTTTGAGAAAAAAAAATACAAAAAAGAGGATACCTACGGAGTTTCTTTCGCCTGCTTCTTCTCCGATAGAGGAACCGACGAACATTACGAAACGGTGGTAGATTTAAAAAATGACTATCGATAAATGAAATGTATATTTCTTAATTCGATGAATAAATGATTTGATTTGATTTGAATCATAGAATTTGCAACATCTTATCTTAGGTCAGAGTCCCACGGAAAGAGTTCATTTCATAAAATGAAAAAATAAGGCTTAGGTATTTTTTATTTGTTGTTTAAAATGTAATTCATATAATAATAAAATAATAAACACTAATTTGGTTTAAAAATATGTAATAAATATATCAGTAGCGGATAAAGTGATGTCAGTAGGAAGGTGAGTGAAGCTGACACTCACGTCAGTTTTTATTTTAAATTCATCTCCAAAATAATAACGAATATTTTGATTAAATTCTCCCCCCGTTGTCGGAGTTAACTTATCCCGAAAGCCTTCAGGTTTCTCCCATAATTCGTTTGTTGGATCCCGACCGTTTTTAATGGCCGGCTCTATTGTTGTACATGCTTTGAGAAAGTTTCAAATTAATTTAATGCTCGTAACGCGGCCATTCTCTTTGGTTTGTTAATGATTTTCTCAATCCTTTTATTGACTTGAATGCAAAAAAGACAACAGTAGCAACATAATAATAATCAAATCCCGTGTGAAGTTGTCGCACAATACGGTGATCAGTAACCGAATGGTCATAATTATAGGAATTTGTAAATAAGGGTTTATCAATGAAAAATAACATGTCAATGCTATTTTAAAAATTAACTTTTATTTGTTTTATTGTCAAGAGATAGCATTATCGTACATTCTCTTTAAGAAAATATTCAATGAAATTGTTTTTATGACAAGTACTTATCTATTTTTCGCCTACAAGAGGGAAACGTTAGCTTAAAATGATGTTTGAATTACGGAACTTCTGGTGTACCGACAAAAAATGTCTTTGAGAAATAACGTATAGAGAGGCAATAAGAAGTAAAACTCCATTCAAAATATCAGCATCGTCTACTCTGATTATATTCTTATTGATTCAATTAATTGGGTCGTCACCACAATGGGGTGCGTAAAATGCTTAATTTAAATAATATGTAGAGGGTTTATTGGCTTGGAGGGTTTATTAAAAGAATGTTGGGTCAGCAAGACTGTGAACACGTCACTTTCTCGATTACTATTTGTGTAGATTTTGACGATCAGTTCTTTAGCGAAAAAAATTTATTTGTATATACCGACGGAAGAATATCGTTAAGATTATAAATGAATACATTACTTTTGTCTTGCGATGCCAAACCGTGGAAACGTGAAACAAGTAACTAGTAGTTATTGTCAATTACATCGAAAAACGTCGCTTATTGCTCCCTTTTACTGTATTTAATTAGCGGTATCACTCAGACAAAACGTTATGTGACGTTACCCCACGGTGTTGAATATATGAAAATTAAAAATGAGTCGAAAATCAAAGTAACATGAAATACAGGATTATCTTTTTGTGTTTATGTACAGCGACCGCACCGGTGCGGTGGCGAGTGCTGGCCACACCGAATCCGGTCTCGGGAAAGGTTTTAATTTTTGAGACTTATTAACTTCGCGACTGCTTACTGGCCGAGCTAAATGTGGTGGTTAGCGTCACGCTCACGCTAAATAAGAACTATTTTCTACCCCAATTCACTTCCAAATTTTATTTAATAACATCGTTATTTCGTACTTTAAGATTTAAATATTTCTGACTGTAAGATAGATTTTGAAATGTTAATTTTTGAGGCAAGGAATGTTGCAATTTAATTATCATGTACTAATTTAGAAAGTGAAAGTTTCCAACGTGTAGCTTAAGCTAACAGTTAAGTGTTGAAATAGTAAAATTTATCCTTCGCATTATATCTGAAATTACTCAAATTAAATGTACAAAAAACTGTTTCTATGCAAAAGGCTTATTTGCGAAAACTCAAACAATTCCAAACTACATCTCTGGGCGTGAATCAGCAAGACGTGTGTTCGATTCCCGCAGCTGCGAAAAACTTTTCGTCCTTTTGCCTATAAATTTCAATGTTTTATCTTAAGAACAGAAGTTAGCACTATAAAAATTTAAAACATGACTTCCGTTTATCGTCAGACTAGAACATCGTAGCTTGCATCAAAGTTTATGGTACGTAGAGATATGGACGTAAACGATTAGAATTCATTACACTTGTTAATTCCCATGCAACCCTTTACAGTCTGCTGCAGAATATCGTAATTCTGAAAAAACAAAACACAGGCCGTATTGTAGGATGTTGTAAAATCGTCATAAAACGATTTTAATAAATGTACAACATTAATCATGACATCAGATACGCGTATCACTCGTCGTAATGTTTAACTTACACAATCATTGTATAAATACTATACTCACTTAAACCATTACTGCAATATTGATGCAATATGTCCTTAATTTGAGATTAGCACACGGCAAATCGCTTTCAAATGCTATTGTGCACACCTGTAGTGTGGCTTCATGTCGCCTCTTGATCTCCACTGTGTTAGAAATTTTCATTTCTCCATCATTTTCTTGCAACTAAGTACAGTACGCGCGGTATTACGGAAAATATTTTGCGACAGAGTGACTGACGTTTTACAATGGCATCGCAATTTAATTTACTCACAGTTGTCTTTTGTATTAACGTCGACGCTCGGTTCTTATTAACAAGCTTGCGAAAATTCATTGGAAAATGAAATACCTGCGACTTAAATCACTCGCGGTACAGACGGTGGGAGTTTTCCGAAGTTTTTTTATATAGTGTCTGCTACGATCGCTGTTTCCAAACGTTTCAAAAAATCCCAATGATTGTCTATAAACGCGTTTGCAAACCTTGTCAAGAAATAAAACACTAAATCGGTAGTTTTAATTTGCAGTTTATATGCAAATAATTGTTGCATATGTAATTTATTCACACGTGACAAAAGTACGGCTTTAGATAAAAATTATGCTGTAGAAGTTTCTTTAAATTTAAAGTAGCCATTTACGTACAGGCGTATGTACCGTATTGGACGATGATTCGGTATCAATAAGAACGGTAAATATATCATTCACCTTCTTCGTGCTGCCGATGATATAGTCGTCATGGCACAGTTGTTGAAGGACCTGAATGCTGTATCCTCAGTAACGTTTTCCAACACTTGGGTCTTAAAATAAACGAAAATACTCTCGAAGTTGTTGACCTCTTGGACAAACGGTCCAGTTAGGCAGGGCCAACTTCGCTCGAAGAACCCAACTTAGATGAGCAGCATTCGGGAAATTACGCGATATATTCTGCAGCGCCTGAAGTTAAGGGTGTATTAGGGTGAACGAGCTATGGAGAGAGATTTGCTCATTTTTTTGCGTGACAAAATCCAGAACGAGGGAAGTGCAAGAATCACCGCTCTCTAGATTTCAAAGCTGAAATAGCAATTGCCCAGTATGTGACTGGGCACTCGATGAACTGAGTGGTAGAAATAAAAGTTCGCTTGTAGCGACCACGAACCGGAATACGTAATGCCAGAAAGCCTTCCACTAAGTCGCCGACGACATCATGAGCTTCGCGGGCTACTGTTGAAAGCAAATGGCCTTGTCGTTTGTTGTGGCGTTCTAAAGAGCCCCCCCTTTGTGGACAATAGTGGACGTCTTTCGGCTGATGACGATTGGTTTGGATATGGTATTTTAAACCAATCATCTTGATCTAAACTGCGAGTGCGGCGGCGTTTGTCACTCACCATCAGGGGATCCGCCAGATCGCTTGTCATCTTCTTGCTAAAAAAAATAACATTTGATGAATGACATCGCTCCTATTCATGAACTCCAATTGATAATATATTGAAGGCGTACGTCACGTGTATACGTAACATTTGCGTTATTTATTAAAATCTTTTTGGGCAAATTGGCCCATGTCCAACAGTAGTCGCAGATATCGAGTTAAATGCTGTCGTATCACAACGAATGTCACCAACACTCGTGCCATTACGTATGATTTACATTTCCTACCACCAATCGGTTACTAATAAAAAATAGCTACGGCTTCTATGTTAGAATCTATAATTTTTCTTATTGAATTTTAATATATTATATTCTTTATAACTAAGTTCACTTTCAAGATTGTTTATTCTATCATTAGCGAGATATTTTGTTTAGATGAAGAAGCGCCCATAATATTTAATGAGTTACTTTAGTGAAATAAAAACAGGATGATTAAGAAATGTGTGGACATTGCCGTCATTTAGTTCGATAAGTAGGTCATTCAATGCCCTCTTAATTAGCTTTTCAAATGATAAGTCTTCATAAATATGCTGTTGTATGTACTTACATTTATTTTTCTTTGGGAGTGTCCAAGTTTATTTTGTTAAAAATCCTCTGCAATCGGTTAAAACAATACGAAACATTTCTTTCAACGTTCTTATTTAACAGGAGTATTTAAATAACGTTCAATGTCAGATTTGATTTTGAAAATAGATTTTATTTTTCTACATCGTATATTTATGACAGAATAAAGGCCCATTTACACGGTGCCAGTTTCTTGCCTGTTGTATACAATTAAATTGAAGCAATAAATGAGTTGCATGGTCTAAACAGCACATAACATTCTTGCCTGTTGAACAAGACTTGCTTAAAGTTTTGTTTTGTGTAAACAGCACATACAATAATTTCTTAAGCAATTCTTGCATTCAATTTTCTCTCTTCATTTGCAAACATGAGTGCAGTGAGTGAGGGTGTGTTAATCGTCGCTGCTCTTCTGATGCAAGAAATAATGAGAAAACGTCGCAAAAGAAGGTGTTGGGTCAAAAAATGGATAGCAAGAAGAGAGGTTCTCGGAGCATCTAACAATATTTGTGTAGAGTTACAAACAGAAAATGAAGATGACTTTAAGGACATGTTTCGAGTGAACAGAACCCAATTTTATTATTTGTTAGATAAAGTTGGTTCATCTATACAAAGGCAAAATACAACAATACGTAATGCTATTCCTGCTCGCACGAAATTAGAAGATTGGAATAAAATAAGACGAGGCTTTTTTATAAGATGGTATTTTCATTTTCCCAACTGCATTCTGGTGGTACCATTGATGGGAAAAAATAAGCATATAAATATAAAATGTCCGCCTGGCACAGGATCAGATTTTTTTAATTATAAAAGTACATTTAGTATTGTGTTACTAGCTTGTGTTGATCACGATTATTGTTTCACATACATAGACGTGGGGGCAAAGGGTAGAAACTCTGATGGTGGAATATTTAATAATTGTACTTTAAAGAAGGCTATTGAAGAGAACACCATACATTTGCCAAGTAATTCAGTACTTGTCGGAGATGAAGCTTTTCCCTTAAAACCTTATTTAATGAAACCATATCCTCGCCGTAATGATTTAACAAGAGAACAAAAAATTTATAATTACAGATTGTGTAGATGTAGGAGAATCGTCGAAAATGTTTTTGGAGTTTTAACATCCCGATTTCGAGTTTTCGAAAAGCCCATCTGCACAAGTATCGACAAGGTAGACGTCATAGTGAAAACAGCGTGCGCTTTACACAACTGGCTGAGGAAAACTTCACCTGCGTCTTACACGCCACCCGGTTTTATAGACGAAGAATGTCCAAGGACTGGTCTTCTTCTCGGTACTTGGAGACAAAATGCTTCAGGCAGGGCTTTCGAAAATATAACCTCACAGAACAACAGGAATAGTACAAGAGAAGCTATAAGAATCCGTGATAATTATTGTCATTACTTTAATAGTGATGGTGCTGTACCATGGCAAGATAATGCTATTTTTTAATGATTGGCTGTGCCAAGCCGTGTTACCCACGTGATCCCAAGGGAGCCTTCTATCGGGTTTACCAACTGTTTTTGTAAAAAATATATTAACACATTTTAATGTAGAGAAAATTAAGTATAACGAATAAAAAAATAATGTATTTGAAAGTTTTACTTATTTCTTATCTTGTAGATACATTTTTTACTTACATTCCAAATTTAAATTTAAATAAAAAAATGGGTGTGTGCACTTATGTACGCGTGTGAGAAGTTATACTTTTTGGCTTCATTAAAAATAGTTTTAATTGCATGCAAATAATTAATCACAATAAAAAAATAAAAAGTCTGGAAAAGGATATAAATAATAAACATTAATTGTAATGGGCGAATGTGATTGAGAACATGCTGCTATCCATAAAAATTAACGAGCAGCTTCAATGGTGTGACTTTTGTGTTACAGTAATGCGTATGCATCTTAAAATTTCACTTATAATTTTTTCATAATGCTCGTAAAGAAGTTTAACTTCAAAAAGTAACTTTTCATTAAAATGAAAAACAGGGAAAATACATAGTAGCAGACACATACCGATCCCACAAACATTCTAGATTTAAAAATATATCAAATGACAAATTGACAAAATTATCTTGGGATAAAAATGATTTTGTTAATTCCTATAATATAATTAACATGAAAAGCTTTTAAGTTGATAGCGTTCTGTTTCTACTTAGGTTCAGTAATTAATTATCCATATAGGTATTGTAAGTGCTTTTTTATGCATTGTAAATCACACACACAGATAGCATCTTTTCACATACTTTATATTATGCATGCATAAGTATAGACCATATTTACCAGAAATAAAATAGGATTTACATACTTACCATATTAGACGTTGTTTCTCTATGTTCTGAGGTTTTCCGTAAAAAAGAATCCATTAAATTATACCACGTAAGTTTGGATTTGTAAATATTAGCAGTACCGGAACCTGTGCCCATTGAACTTTTTATCTTTTTCTTTTCCCCATGATACTGTGTCCTTAAATTTTTTATTTTGTTTTTCACTTCCTTAGGTCCAAAACCATCAACCCCAAATTCCTGTGCAAATGCTGTTAGTGCTGCATTACGTGCATCGCGATTCTTGTAATTTCCATTTTCAGTATCCCACAAACACTCATGATTGCGATAAATCTCAATGAACTTTATTATCTCAGTCGTACCAAATTTGAACACCTTTTGACTCATTTTTTTAATAAACAGTCTCTATTAAGACGTTCAACACTTGCACGAAAAATTTGTCAACGCAAATACGTGCAATACTTGAAGCAACCGTCCAACAAATGGTACACGCAAAGGCAAGTCTGTGTTTAGACAAGTCAAAACTTGAAAGCAATAATCGCCTAAACATAATTGCTTTGGTGGAAACAAAAGGCCCTTGCAATTATTTTTTTTGAAGACTTGCATTCAATAATCGCTTTCAATTTTTTTTGCTATATCTGCGTGTAAACTGTTGCTTACAATTCTTGATGGTCAATTATTGCGTGCAATTTATTGCATTCAATTATTGCTCTTGTATGTACAAGAAAATGGTATCGTGTAAATGGGCCTTAAGACTTGTTAATGCTCAGCAAAGTATGTGTTTTAGCCACGGGCATCGTTTGTTTCTCTTGTATTGATTTTGAAATAGTTAGCCAATAAAGAGAAAAGAAATGAGATTAATTATAGTATTCAATTCGTTGTCTTATGTCTGAATGTCCAAAGTTTATGTTCATCATTCATCATTTTCAATTAAATTATTATTAATATGAAACAGAAGAAAATAACATAATTAATATTTATTGTGCTATTTGGACAATCTTTTTATACTTTTCAGTAATCTATACATTATTTAATAGTAATATAAATATCGTTTCTCATAGTATATATTCTGGTATTGATATCATATACATTTTTGATACCGTAAGAATGTTTTATTAATGACTCTATGGATAGGTATAGAAATAATTAATTTTCATTCTTCATAATTTTTGCTTATTTAGTTTATGTAAAAACTAGAATAATACAATCGATTTATTTATAAGCTATTTCTACGTACGGGTCACGGCCAGTAACCGTTAAAATGCTATTGATTGTTATAATCATTTTATTGTATACATCCTTTGTATGTACATGCTTTTATGTCTGTTTTTAATAAAACTGTTTAGTAGTTTACGTTCATTAATTACGCGATGTGAATTTAGAGATTTTTTTGACTCGCTCTTCCCCACTTTGAGATTTCGTGAGAGTAGGCTCAACCCCCTTCCGCCCTCCCCCAATCAAGTGAGATTTTTCAAATGCATGTATCTCGTAAATGCATCAGATTTATTCTAAGAAAAATCATTTGATTTTTATGCACACAAAGGAGGTAATAAAGAATACTAACATTTGAATCAATTTCTCTCATGTTAATTTTTTAAACAAGTGGCATTTAATTTATATGGACAGGGGATACATTGTATGCGACTAGAATAAATCAATCACATAAAATGTCCTATAAAAACTGATTTCACAATTAAATCACTAGTATTAAAATATGTAGAAAAATCTTTAGTGCAGAGATTAGCACTATAAACAATTTAAATCACTAGTAATTGAGGAAAGAGTAATATTTTAACATATCTTAATTATTTTACATTTAATTTATAAGCATTGGAATCTTTAATAATACATTTCAATATTATCAAATAATTTCGTATAGTACGTCTGGTACAACCGCACAGCATTCGAAGGCAAACTTGTTTGTAGTAAATACCTGTCAGCAAAATTATCGTGCCGAAGCCAGAGCCTGTGCTTCCGTCCGCACACAAGCACTAAATATAAGTGCGTGTTCTTTTGATCTTCGCAGGCATAGCGCTGTTTACTCCTTATGTCCCAACCGACGTTTCACCCGAGTAACACGCAAATACAACGAGTGATTCATTGCGTCGAAATCTCACGAATTCGCGCAATCTCCATTTGCTAAATCTCAAAATACAAAAAGCATTCTGTATCTACAGACGTTATAACAGGCGCATTACGATGATCTTCAACTCGCGTCGAGGCGGGCTTTTGACACGTTTCCGTTTCACAACATTCCCAAAATCGTGAAAAGCGGACCAACGGGTTTCAGCACGAAAACGCTCGAACGAAAAACGTTTTTAAAAACATATAAAAACATATTTTTTTTGTACTCGGTCTGCACAGCGAGTTCACTTTAAACCCAATGCCCGGCCTGCAGATCTCAAACTGGATTGTTTATATTCATCTTTCAAGAGGCCGTGTCTGCTACCTGTATTAATGGTGGACGATGAAAGTTATTATGTAGAGTATTTTATGGCGGGTTTAAAATTTTTCGTTATTTATCCAACCGCTAGGTAAATTGGCCCAAAGTGATGTCTGCTAAGATTTTTTAACCGCTTTGATATAATAGTGACGAACAAAAGGCATGAGTAATACCGTTGTATATAGAATTACTTATTTCGACTAATAATAGAAAGAGTTACGTCTAATTGTATTAAGTCTTGAACATAATAAATATGCATTAAAATATGAGTGAACGAACATTGTTACCTAAAACTTAAAAAATTGGCAATTCAATGGATATGAACCTGTTTAAAATTGTACTTTTAACTAAAAGAAGTTCAAAAAATAATTACTATTGTTCGTGTTAATTGAATTAATCAAAACGATCGACAATTACTTGTTTGTATTTTCTGTTTTCAATTAAAAAGTATAACGAAGTAGAAAACTGTTTTTTAGTTACGAAATGGTTCATAAAAGAGCCTTTTGTGTGAACTTATGAAAGTGCACATATTTATCCGTGCTTCAATAAAACATTTGAGAATATGGTTGTACAGTCAACTTTTCTTTCATTCGTCTTACCTAACGCTTAATGTTCAGAAATGTTAAAGAGGCATAAAAATACAGGTTCCGTGTGGTCATGCATTGATCACCGCTCTAATAACGATTGGCTATCTCACATGCGCCGTCGTTACGGCTAATTAAATTCGGGCCTACCAACGGTTGTGCGTGGTCGGTCGCTTTCGTGGATACTTCATGTAACCCGATGAGTTTTTCTGGTGGCCGCTAGTGGCCTGATTGGCCTAATCCGCGCACAGCGCCTGTGAGATGTAAATGTATTCCGATTCAGGTGAATAGGGCGAGTTATCCCGTCCCCTGGCGCGCCGAACGAAAAATATTTGGAAGGTTGCCAACGATGCTCCGTTCTCGGCCGTCGCGACGCCCTCGCTCGGGCGTCTATGGTAGCCGCCCCGTAATGCAATACCTTAAGCTGAAGTGCATCTCGTACATGCATTAAACGCTCAATTGTATATCAGTATTGCAGACATCGGCTACTTGTATACTCATGGAAATGATTAAATTAAAACAATTGACCTTTACCTATGTCATTGTTTATTCTTATACAGCGTGTCGTTACCATCGCGACAATAAATGAACACACGTCTAACGCTACTTGCCAATAATCATAAAAAAATGTTAACGTTAAACAAAATCCATAATTAAAAAAAAATATTTTTCAAAAAAACTAATTAAGTAAAAAAAGAAACAAAATTTGTAACATCCTATACAACTCGCGCCACAGCGTCGTATTACAAGTCTCTCCTTCTAACAGTATGTTTTGTCTCTTTTAAATTCATTCAACCCATTCATATGCTTTGTGACCTTGACAAATGAACTTTACGTTACGCTTTTATAGGTAAGGGTGTTCTAAAATTCTTTGTTTTGGAAAATTTAATAACTCTGTAAATATTGTTGTTTAAAGAATTTAAATGTTTAATACAACTTTAAAAAGTTATCCCCTATATGTGTGTTCATTTATTGTCGCGATGGTAACGACACGCTGTATATATCGTCGATTTATACATGACTTGCTTATGTTGAAAATATCCCCTTATTGCGGGACAACATTATCTCATCGTATTTCCTTATACACAAATTTTTTATAATTAACATATTTCTTACGGATAAAGTCCCGGATCCGGCAAATCTTGTTCCGCTTGCGATTCGAATCTACCCATAGTTGCGCACCTGCTGCGATTTCTTTAATTTTATAGGTACATACTACATACATGATTTGCGATTTCAGGAATTCAAAACAGATTACCCAAAGAAACTCTCTTCTCGTTTAATTCTTACTAAAGATAAAAAATTCTAATAACAACGAAGGGTTCCGTACCATTATCTGTAAAAACGACAAAACATCATGTCTGTTGTATGTGAGCCCCACTTAAATATTTTCTTATTCTATTTTTTAGTATTAGTTGTTATAGCGGCAGAAATACATCATCTGTAAAAATTTCATCTTTTACTATCATGGTTCATGAGATACAGCCTGGTGACAGACGGACAGACAGACAGAAGGTCAGCGGAGTTTTAGTAATAGGGTCCCATTTTACCACTTAGGGTACGGAACATTAAAATGTTTAAAACTGTAAGGATTTAAAATTACTGAGTGATCGCATAGACTATTTTTCCACTGTCATCGCTCAAAGCCTCTTCTTTGCTAGTTCCTTATTTATATATGCACAATGTGATTTTTTTTGTTTGTTGCAGGTGAGTAACGGCAATGTCATCGATACCGGAACACCTACCCTGCTGGTATTTACCATTTTATATTTACTAAGCTAAGCAAGCACGAACGCATAAATTAATTAAGTCACATTTATTTGTTCAGTCTAAATGCAATGCTGTCACCGCTAAATGTGTTAGTAGTTTAAACTGTGGCTTGTTTATCAATTTTAATCGTATCAGAGCCGGTTTTTACAACTGATTGGCACATTTATGTTTTAATAAATTTATATAGATTAGTTGTAAATATGTAGATATTTTAAGCTAGTTGTGTTACATAGAAAATCTCCTAGTAGTCGTTAAGGTAATGATTCTATATTCTTTCGCAGTATTAAATTGTTCATACAATTTCATTCATAATCATTACAAAAGCCTGTTTTTCTATTTGTAAGCAAACCACATTTGGCGAATAACTTGCGGTAAATTATTTGCTAGCAATTTTGTCGGTTATTATATACGAAAATATCTCGTAAGATCTAATAGTTAAATAGTATGTAATAAGAATGCCTCTTGGTAATATTAAATATTAATAATACACGAGCTCAAGCAACCATACGAAGGTACATATAAGTATATACACATGTTGAGTATGGCAAGCGGGGCGCTGACTACTTCCAAGCCGCGTCTGCTTTGCATGCAAACGATTTCTCATTGATTCATGGCTATAAGCTATTTTCAACTCTCGCCTCTATAGAAACAAAGGTGTTCTGCTGTTACTCAGCAGTCTGTTTTGAATTATATTCGATATTGTGCATCGCATACCGATACGACGTTTTCGTTTGCGTACTGAGGATTTAGATATCATTTAAAAATAATAATCCCTCATAATATTCTAGAACTGTATGGTCCATTTGATGTTAAATATTTTCGTAACATAGGCTTTTGTTGTTGGGTTTCGTGTAGACAGACTTACTTTTTCTATTTAACAAACTCATATTGGCTCGAATTTTAAATATTCCCCAACTAATTATAACGTGAGTAATAAAATGTATCATTTCGTATTGCGCTTGCAAAATACGAGAATTTATATTATTAGTGATTATTTAAATGATAACACACCCTGGAAATGAATTGATCGCTCCAGGCTCTTTTAAGTAGTCATCAATACATTTGTAAACATGTTTTTTTGACAAATAATGCTAAAAAAATGTACCGCTGAGTTTCTTTCGCCGGTTGTTCTCAGGTCAGTTGCTTTTCTTCTCCGAAACGGTGGTACTATTTTGACAATCAATAAAGTGAGCGTAACGCTTCTTTAATGAATAAAGATATTTGAATTTGAGTTGGTATCGGTTGAGGTAAATCATTGAAATTGTTTAAGAGATACACAGTCTTATACGAGATACTTCTTGCGAGGTCCATCGGAAATCATGGGACATGCATGGAATATTAAAAGACCTCATGTTCGTAGTAGACACCGGTTGTGAGGGCACGGTGACTAAGCGCCATTCGGCCGGGCACCGTCCCACCGCCATTGCAACCCGTTCACCTAACCATTTAGATACGGCGAGGTCGCTGCCTTTTTACGAGAGATCTAACATAGTCGTTAATGGGCGCACCACTTGTTCGGTTTAACGCTAATCTAACGATCATAAATAATCTATCAGCTGATGCGATTTTGTGCCGCTGTTATAGACTTTTATATATATTAATACGTGAAGCAAAAGCTTTCTACTTCTTTTTTTAGGAAAATTTCGCGGACGAAGGAGTATGAAATTTCGCACACTTATAGTTTATATATATGGAGGAGTGCAGAAAGCTTTTATTATTTTTAAATTATGCATAAAAATACATTAAATCAATTAAAAAAAACATAACACTCACGACCACGTACTTATAATTAATTGTTGAATTTAGACAAACTAGGCGACCACAATTTTTTTATAATTGTCTCCGTTATTGCAAAGGTCGAATATTGCGGTCAGGAAAATCTAGGTATATTTGAGACTTAAATTTCGAAATAATATTGATTAACTGAGTTTTTATAAATATATCTCCTTTGGAAGTTTTTACCTATAAAGTATGCTGAACTGAAATCCTTTCCAACCATCCAACATAACTTTTAATCTTAGAACTTCAACTCTCATTTCACTTATTTATGTTTTTGTTTGCCCTTAATTGCATTTAATATCTTTTTCACACACAGAGTACTGGCGCAGCGGATAAAATTTTGTATAATTTTTCTTTTGTTATGGTAAAGAAGTAAAACTTACGCACATATTTTTTTTATATTTAACTTATTTTCATAGAAATCAGCGAAATGAAAATAACGATATTTGCAGAAAGTGTGCAGAGTCTATACAGATTATGTTAAAATATTTATGAATTCATTTAATTCATTGTATTAATATCAATCAATTATAATTAAATTTAATTAATAATTTTCAAACTGCTTTCTTAGATAGCGATTAACAGCATTATGGTATAGTAATACATTAAGGATTATAAATGAAACTAATTTTACGGATTTATCGCGTTTATTTTTAATTTTGCCCAAACGAACCACTACTGCAAGACAAGATACAATTAGCTCCCTCTGCATAGATCGGACACAAAATTAATAATTCAAAAACTGACGGTAGCCCGGGTTAACTATGACAATCAGACGTCTAACACCTCAGTCTGTCCCGTGACCATGAACGCTGTAAAGGGTTCGAAACGTCGGGAATTAAAATTAAAAATAAACGCGATAAATCCGTAAAATTAGTTTCATTTATAATGTGTAATCGCGTAAATACAAGAAATTATTAATACATTAAGGAGTTAAACCTTTTATATTTTAACGCCCGGTTTAATATTTACAGATTGATTTGGTTACTGGACATTTTAAATCTTTCCATGTTCGTGTAAACACTGTAAAAACGAAAACACTGTATTATATCTTATACCATTAAACGCAATTTCGACATTAAAAACGAAAACACTGTATTATATCTTATACCATTAAACGCAATTTCGACATTTATCTATTTCCACTTATATAGGTACTACTAGCTGAGCATACGTTGTTTTGCCATATAAATTATTTGTAGGGTAGAAAAAAAAAATTTGGGGTGGACCACCGTTAATATTTAGGGGGATGAAAAATAGATGTTGTCCGATTCTCCACCCTGACCGATATGCACACAAAATTTGAACACACGAAAATTGGTCGAGCCGTTTCGGAGGAGTTCAATTACAAACACCGTGACACGAGAATTTTATATATTAGATATCGTTTCTGTTTAAACTTTGGAAAAAGTAAAGTAGGTATGTAGAAACACTCCTGTTCAATAACGATCTTGTGAATAAATATCAAAACCATCCACCGGATAGTTTTTGAGTTTTGTGGTCACAATCATATGGAAGCTAAATGTTTATATGTATAATGATTATTATATTGACTATAAAATATTTACATCAATCCGTTACTCCGTAATCGATGCTATCCCCCTAGTGTGTAACTTTTGAAATTTGTCGCGATCCGAAGTACCATTAAGACCTCTCCTGGAGCGGTGCCAGAGCTGGGATATTATTAGCGCGCCGCCAACGTCCGAGTTAATCAAGCTCAAATAAGATCAATATTTCCCGTGGACGACGGTCTCGGGGACGCGGCCCGTCAGCCGGGATTAAAGACCGGCGACCGGCAGCCGAAACTAATTATTCTGATACATTATTAACCTAATTCCGTCGCTTTGGCACCTAACTAAACGCGTAAACAGCCGCAGATATAAAGCGACTCCTAACGGACAGATTAACGAGCCCTGTCCGGCCAGAAGGACACCGGACACTAATGTCGACGCTTACGTTTCGCAACCCGTAATAAGAAAGCTCACCGCGACGCGTTGCGTGGCGTCAGGTGGGACCAGTTCTATGCGAGATTCAATTTCTTAGAATTCAGTACGGCCCACCGTAAGATGAGCACTATCGCAAAAGGACGTCTGACCCGAATTTTACGGCGATCGTCTCGCGTTCTTACGCTATCTGCGCGCAGGCAGTGATCGTGCTACGTCTGTGTGGGTTGTAAAAACTAATGAGAAATTGTAGTCATTACCATATTAAATGCGTAAGTAATAAATAAGCTAATGGTTTATACTGTTTTTGTAACATCTGCATAGCGTGACTATTCCGCTCGATGTGCCGGCGTTCCGACGAGAGAAATTCTGCTGCTTCCATGCCGTACTAGCAACCGGGTTGCTTGTTGTGAAATGCTTTTATATTATAAAACGCAAAAGCAACAACCAAGTGCTATGAACCGGATTCATGTACCAATTCGTATTTAAATAACGAATGAATTTTATAATTGAAGTTATTAAGATTCAGTGATAGCGAATTAGCCGGAGGGGCACTGATCAAAGAGGTTTTACGGCATTATTTCTTGACGAGAGGTCATGCGTGTCCGCCATTGTGATGTGGACCCGCGACCTTAGTCCGGGTTGTTGGCCTACCGAGCCGTAATCAATAATATTTCAACTGACTGCTTACTACTTAATTTTTATTGTTTACTTATTATTTAATTTTGATTAATTTATAGGTATCCGTACATGAAAATTAGAAGTTTTTTTTCTTAAGGAAAAAAATAATGTACTAAAAAGAACTTGAACTTTATTTATTTTTAATCAGATAGTCACGTCTATTGCACATTTTTTTTATTTTTTTTTACATTATGTTTTCCCCTGACTTATTTTATTTACATTTGTTTGAGGGTAATCTATGTATTATATTTTAATACTTCTATTGCAATCTTGTTATGTAACATGTATCTGGGAAAACTATGAATAGACTAGTATTTATTTTGTATGCACATTTTGCACGTAAATGAGCATAATCTGTACGTGCAGTTCGTACTGGTCGGGGCGTGGGTGTTAGTCCCGAATACATCAGATTTGCATTATATCTACTCTGCGAAAATGGCCCACCGTATACTATACCTAGTTATTTTCTGTGGACCAGGCATACAGTTTGCATAATATGAACTTTGAATAAGCCACTGGCCTATGTACAGAGAGTCTTATTATTTTTTTCCTATTTAATGAACGTAGCTTGGCAAAAAC